GTGGGGCCTGAACTCTGGGCCTGGGCGCTGTCCCTCAGCTCTTCAGCTCAAGGCTAGAGCTCTACCACTTGAGCCACAGCGTCACTTCCGGCTTTTTTCATTTTGCTTATGTGGTGCTAAGGAATTGAACCCAGGGCCTCAGGCATGCAAGGCAAGCGCTCCACCACTGAGCCATCTTCCCAGCCCCTCCTGTACTCCAGAAATTCTATTGTACTTTATTAGAAAATATTTTGAGACAAATGAAAATGAAATTACAACATATCAAAATGCATAGAATTCAAAGTACTGCTAAGAGAAAAGCTGTTAATTGTGGAAGATCTCAAATCAGCAATCTATCTTTATACCTTCAAGGAACCAGAAAAGAGCAACTGCTCTTTCTGCTAAATCTAGCAGAAGAAGGGAAGTAATAAAGATTATAGCAGAAGTGACATATATTAGGATATTTTTTTTTTTTTTTTGCCTATCGTGGGGCCTGAACTCTGGGCCTGGGTGCTGTCCCTCAGCTCTTTAGCTCAAGGCTAGCACTCTACCACTTGAGAGCCACTTCTGGCTTTTTCTGCTTATGTGGTGCTAAGGAATCCAACCCAGAGCCTCATGCATGCAAGGCAAACACTCTACCACTGAGCCACCTTCCCAGCCCAGGAATTTTTTAAAAGCCAAGAAAACTGCCAAACGTGGTGCCGTGGCTCAAGTGGTAGAGCACTAACCTTGAACACAGAGAGGCTTAGGGACAGAGCCTAGGTCCTGAGTTTAAGCCCCAAGATTGGCAAAACAAAACAGCAACAACAACAAAAACTCAAAAAACAAGAAAACTGAGTTTAAAAGAGATCGATAAAACTGGTTTACAATTAACAAAATAAAAGTAGACTTCTAAAGTGAGATATGAAATAAGGCACATTACAACCTATGCCACAGAAATTTTTAAAAAGAGGCTATTACAATTATATGCAAACATGTTAGAAATCCTATATGAAATGGATAAATTCTTTTTTTTTTTTTTTTGTCAGTCGTGGGGCATGAACTCTGGGCCTGGGCGCTGTCCCTCAGCTCTTCAGCTCAAGGTGAGCGCTCTACCACTTGAGCTAAGGCGCCACTTCCAGTTTTCTGGTGGTTTATTGAAGATAAGAGTTTCACGGACTTTCCTGCCTGGGCTGGCTTTGAACTGCAATCCTCAGATCTCAGCCTCCTGAGTAGCTAGGATTAAAGGCGTGAGCCACTGGCTCCAGGCTGATAAGTTCTTAAATATGCACAACCTAATCCAAGTTTTGACAGATCAAGATTAAACAGAAAATCAAAACCAATCTATAAAAAGCACGGAGATTGATTCAAGTCACAACCTCTAAACATGGGGGTACACATCTGTGTGGCAGGAAGATCATTAATTCAAGACCAAGTTTCTTTGATTAGAGAAATTCTGACTTTGTGTGTGTGCATACCCACTGTGTGCATGCGTGGGTGTTACTCCTGGGACTTGAACTCAGGACCTCAGTGCTGATCTGTGCTTTTGTTTTGTTCAAGGATAGTGCTCTACCACTTGAGCCACAGCTCTACTTCTGGCTTTTTTCTAGTGGTTAATTGAAGGTAATAGTATCATAGACTTTTTTTTTCTTTATATCATAGACTTTCCTACCCAGGCTAGCTACAAACTACAATCCTCAGGTCTCAGCCTCCTAAGTAACTAGTATTTACAGGTGTAAGCCACCATTATCTAGTGACAGAACTATTTTTATCCACCTTACATACTGAACTTCAATGAAAACTTTTTTCTAAAGCAGTAGGAAATTGCTGAAGCATGTAAGCCTGAGAGTAACAGACTAAATATGTGTTTTATACATATTTAGGTAACAATGTGAGGAACTAGAGACTGGAATCTGCATTGTAGTTTTCCAAATGAAGGGATTATAAAGGGCCTATACCAAAGCCAAACAGATTAAGGGGTCATGTTTTAAAAATAATCACACCAAGATTAAGTGCATAACTAAAAGCATTAAATGGTACAGTGAGGAGCTGAATATGATTTTGAAACACTAACTTGGATAACTAGTTAGAAAGTTATGCCACTAAAAAACGATGAGAGGGGCTGGGAAGGTGGCTCAGTGGTAGAACGCTTGCCTTGCATGTATGAGGCCCTGGGTTCAATTTCTCGGCACCACAAAAGCAGAAAAAGCTGGAAGTGGCGCTACGACTCAAATGGTAAAGTGCCAGCTTTGTGCTAAAGAGCTGAGGGACAGCGCCTAGGCCCAGAGTTCAGGTTCCACGATCGGCCAAAAAAAAAAAAAAAAAAAAGAGAAAAGCCAGGTGTCGGTGGCTCACACCTGTAATCCTAGCTGCTCAAGAGGCTGAGATTTGAGGGTTACAGTTTGTTGCAAGCCAGGACAGTAAAGTCTGTGAGACTCTTATCTCAAATTAAACAACAACAACAAAAAATCCGTAAGTGGAGCTGTGGCTCAAGTGATAGAGTAATAGCCTTGAGCACATAAACACAGGAATGGCACCCAAGCCCTGAGTTTAAGTCCCAGGATGGGTACAAAAAGAAAAAAAAAGTAAAGTTCAAAACAATAGCCATGAACTTCTTAATATTTAATATAAGCTAATCCCTATGACAGTGACTATTAAAAAAGTTTTCTCAGGCTCAGAATGTGGCTTAGTGGTAGAGTGTGCTTGCCTAGCATGCATGATATCCTAGGTTCAATTCCTCAGTACCACTTACTCAAGTGGCTCAAATGGCAGAGTGCTAGCCTTGAGCAAAAAAGCAGCTCAGGGACAGTACCCAGGCCCAGGACTGGTCCAAAAAAAAGTTTTTATCAATATGAATAAGAAGATAAATTTTGCTTGGAGCTTAATGAATATAGATGAATATAGGCAAGTATGAATGACTAAAAAGTTGATATAAACCTCTTTTTGAATAAAGATGTACTACTTTACCTTTTCCAGGTTTATATTTGAGATGGAAAGGCTGATTCTGCCAGATATAAGGGGCCAGCATAGGTGCAAACTGGGTCATTATTCTCTCAATATACTTCTGAAGAATCTCTTTGTGGTCCCCTGGGCTTCTGGCTTCATCTGGCAGAAGGAATAAGCGGTATTCCACTGTATCTTCCATAGTAGTGAGTTTCATATTTTTCTCCATTCTTCAAAAATTACACATAAAGTTTTAATAATGTAAGCCACATCAAACAATACTGAAATAACAACTCATTCTAGGTGATTCCATTCATGTTTCCAAACTTCTGATAACCACCTACCAATATTAATTTCAGCCTTGACCATAAACTACCTGTTCACTTAATATTATTCTTTTTAATAACATTTTATACTTAAACCTGTTCTTTATATTTAAAATTATGCTAACTGGAAACTTTGACATTTTTACACCAAATTGAAATCTAATATCACATTTCCAAATTAGCTAATCAGTATGAAGAAAAATTTAAATGTGGCTGCATTTTGACACTGTAATCCCAGTCACTGGGTGTGCTTCAGGTATGTAACCAGAGCTATGCTGGAGGTATGGGTAGAAGATCTCTACCAGAGCCTGCTGAAACTCTACCTGAAAAATGAGGCAAAAAAGGGCTGGGAACATAGTGGAGTGCCTACTTAGCAAGTGAGTGGCTCTAAATTAAAATCTAAGTACCACTACAAGGGGAAAAAAATGTGGCTAAATGTAATTAGTGAGCCTATAATCCTGCCACTCAGGATACAGAGATGGGGGATGATTTCAGTTCTGTGCAGGGCCAGCCTAGGCAAAGAAATGTTTGCCTTTGAAGTAGCAGTGCCATGTGTAAAAACCCCTGTAAGGTCCGCTTCTTACTCGGCTACCTCTTTTTAAAAACCTAACAACCCCCAGTTCTCACACTAAATTGCATCACTTTGTATACTTAAAATTTTTTCTTTTTCTTCCTTTTTTTTTTTTTGATACAAAGACTTGAACTCAGGGCCTGGTACTCTCTCAGGCTTTTTCTACTCCAGCTAGAACTCTATCACTGTGCCATTCCTCCGATCCTTCATTTTCTCTTTCTGGAGCTTTCTCTTACTTGTTGAATAGAGATGTTACACATCTAAAACCCGTTGCTGCATTAAAATTGTGTTTTCTATGTCTTACAGAATATACTTCTGGTTTGTAACAGGTGGAGCAGAGAGCTTTTTCTCCTCGTCGGTTGGGGCTTGAACTCAGGCCCGGACGCTGTCCCTAAGCTTTTTGGGCTAGTGCTCCACCACTTTGTGGCCACAGCGCTAATCCAGTTTTTGACTGATTTATTGGAGACACAGAGTCTCACGGGGCCTTTTCTGCCGGGCTGGCTTCGAACGGTGATCCTCAGATCTCAGCCGCTGAGTAGCTGGGATCGCAGGCAAGAGCCCCCGGCGCCCGGCTGAGAGCTCTTATACTGGAAGGAATTTTCTAACCCGCTTCCTCTTGCTGTCCGGTGCAGCCAGTGAGAGGCAGGCAGTGCGGCCGGACGCGGCCAGGTGAGCAGTGAGCTAACGCATCTTTCTAACGCGCTGGTGGGGAGCCGGCATCTTCTATCCGGCCACCCACCCCAGTCAGCCAAATCACTACACCGCCTCACCACCCGCAACAAACAGAAACCCCACCCAGCCCAGCGCACAGCGCCCCGCACACCCACTGTGGAGGACCGGCGGCTCTCGGCCGTGCGAGGCCCGCGAGCACCCGAAGCCAGCCAGCCGCGAGGGTCCGACGGAAGCCGGGGCTTCTCCCTCCGAGAAGGCTCCCGGCACTGTTCACGAGGCTTCTCCCCCACTCTTCTGCCTGGCACCTGTGTCTGCTGTTTCTCCCACGGAGCGGGCCGCCCCGGAACGAGCCGGTCGCCTCACGACCGCCGCGCCTCACACCCCTCCCACAGGGCCTCACCGGCCAGCGAAAGCCGAGGGAGAAAGCGGGAAGCCCGTTAGGCCCCGGAACCTTAGGTGTGATTACTCCCGCGCGTCCCCGGAAGGACTTGGAGGATGCTGTGTGCGTCACTTCCGCTCCCGCGGGGAAGCTGGGAGGTGGGAGACTGGGGAGGTGGGCACTCAGGAGTGGTGCCGACCCGGAGTCTAGGCGACGCGGGGCGAGACGGAGCCGGTAGGTGGCAGGAGAGCGCCGGGTCGGAGCCGGAGCGAGGGCCAGGCCCGGACGCCCCCACCCTGGCGTACCCGCCCCGGTCGCGCTCGCGGCTGGGGAGGCGGAGGATGATCTCCAGATACTCTCGGAAAGCTGTGCCGCAGAGCTTGGAGCTGTGAGTGAACGGCGCGGCCCTGGGGCGGGCCGCGGGGGGCGGAGCGGGGCCGGACGGGCGGCTGGAGCCCGCCGCGGGCGTCCGAGGGACGCTCCCTGCCCAGCCCTTCGCTCCTTTCCTCGCTCACACTGGGAAGACGAAGCGTTCCTTCTCCCTGCCCTTGCTGACCCACGCAGTCGCTTCTCCCTCCTTCACCAGCCGGGGCCGTGCCACCCGTGTGATCCCTCACTTGGCCTTGGGCTATACTAACTGAATTTAGGAAGTCTATTTCTTCCCACTGTCTGTGGCTACCCTACAACTCCAGAAGTTAGTCCTAGAGGAATGTTGCAGTAGAGTTGAATGCAGACACGTGCAAAGATGCTTACAGGCATAAATTCATTTAATCCTATCAGCGAAGATAGCAGATTGACTATTATTTTACACACTATACAAATAAAGACCATAGATCTAAACATTGTAGTGTGTCAAAGGTAACACAGCCAGCCAGGAAGGAGGTGGTCGCCCTGAGAGGTACAACCTGATGTTGAACTGATTCTAAAGCACCACTGTGGTCATTATACATACTGCCGGGCAACTCTTCATTTAAGCATCAAGAGGATCCGTTTTTGGGCTGGGAAGGTGGTTCAGTGGTAGAGCGCTTGCCTTGCATACATCTATTCCTCAGCACCACATAAGCAGAAAAAAAAAGGCCCGAAGTGGCGCTCAGGTGGTAGAGCACTCGCCTTGAGCTGAAGAGCTGAGGGACAGCGCCCAGGCCCAGAGTTCAGGCCCCACGACCGGCCCCCCAAAAAAGAGGATCTGTTTGTTTGTTTTTTGCTCCTGAGTCACTGTCCCTTAGCATTTGCCTTTAAGGTTGATGCTCTACCACTTGAGCACTTTTTACTTTTTGCTGGTCAATTGGAGAACATTTGAATTTGTGACTAATTTTGGTTAATGTTGTAACTTGTTTAGTTTTAATATGTGATATCTTACTATATTTTCAATTTGCAATGAAAATAGTTTAACTCAGCATATCTAAAATATTATTTTAATATTTATTAAAGATAACAAAACTTATCACAACTCCAGAAAATGGAAATGAAGTTTTTTCTTTATTTTTTATCTATTTTTTTTAATTTTATTTTTTATTTTTGGGTCCAGTCGTGGAGCCTAACTCTGGGCCTGGGCGCTGTCCCTCAGCTTTCAGCTCAAGGCTAGTGCTCTACCACTTGAGCCACAGTGCCACTTGAGGCTTTTTTCTTTTTGCTTATGTGGTGCTGAGGAATCGAACCCAGGGCCTCATGCATGCAAGGCAAGCGCTCTACCACTGAGCCACCTTCCCAGCCCAGTAAGATCCAATTCTTAAGTACATAATAAAGTTGACTATGATTAACTCAGTTATGAAATTAAAGATAGTTTATTCTTTTTTCTTTCTTTCTTTTCTTTTTTTTTTGGGGGGTCCGGTCGTGGGACCTGAACTCTGGGCCTGGGCGCTGTCCCTCAGCTCGTCAGCTCAAGGCTAGCACTCTACCACTTGAGCCACAGTGCCACTTGAGGCTTTTTCCATTTTGCTTATGTGGTGCTGGGGAATCGAACCCAGGGCCAAAGGCATGCAAGGCAAACGCTCTATCACTGAGCCACCTTCCCAGCATAGTTTATTCTTTCTTTATGCTGTTCTGTATTGTCCAAATATTTATAATAAACTTTCTATAATGAAAATGTGATTTTAAGAAATAGATATTTCTGTGGGGGAAAATGAAGGGGTGACATTGTCCAAAAAAAAGAAATATACTCATTACCTGACTAATGAAAAAATTGTACTTTTCTTTTTTTTTTGGGGTCTGGTTGTGGGGCCTGAACTCTGGGCCTGGGCGCTGTCCCTCAGCTCTTCAGCTCACGGCTAGCGCTCTACCACTTGAGCCACAGCGCCACTTCTGCCTTTTTTCTTATGTGGTGCTGAGGAATCGAACCCAGGGCCTCAGGCATTGCAAGGCAAGCGCTCTACCACTGAGCCACCTTTCCAGCCCCTATACTTTATTTTTATTTATTATTTTGGTCAGTTATGGGGCTTGAATTCAAAGGGCCTGGGCACTCACTGTCCCTGGGAGCTCTTTTGCTCAAGGCTAGTGCACTACCACTTTAAGCCACAGCGCCATTTCCGGTTTTCTGGTGGTTAATTGGAGATAAATCTCATGGACTTTCCTGTCTGGGCTGCTTTTAAACTGTGATCCTCTCATTTCAGGTACCTGAGTAGCAAGGATTACAGGCATTGGCCACAGGTACTCAGTGAAAATTATATTTTAGAAATAGGTACTTCTGTAAATCTTTGTTGGAATTGAAAGAACATTTGAAAATTCCATGAGATCACAAAAGCTGCCTGACTTTTCTTTCATGTAAATACAATAATATTTAAATGGGACTAAATATTTAAAGCAAAATCTGTGTGTTTTCTGAGTACAAACAGCTTGAATTCAGGACCCTGTGGTTTGGCTTCACTTTTTCACTCATGGCTGGTGCTCTACCATTTAAGTCACACCTGCAGTCCAAGTTTTGTTTTTGTTTTAATTTACTGGTTAATTGGAGGTAAAAGTCTTTAGGATTTTTCTGCCCAGCCTATCTTTAAACAATGATCCTCAGTTCTGAGTAGCTAGGATTATAGGCATGAGCCACTGATACCCCACTTTATATACTTTCTTTATAGAGGTTCAAGCTTATCTAAACATTTGAGGGGTATATTTCCTTCTAGGAACTTGACCAAAATGCCACTGAAAAAGTGCAGGCAATGTTTATGGCTATTGATGAGCTCCTGTATGAGCAGAAGTCAAGTTTGCATACCGTGAGCCTACAGGAAGAGTGCCAACAGTGGACTTCTAGCTTTCCTCACCTCAGGTACTCAAGCACTACTATTAACCTGTATTTGTGGCAAAGACTAAAATTTCAAAAGTGTGTCTGAAACTTTTAGGAACATGTTTCCTAATGGGCATGTCTTTAGTGATTGTAAATATGATATGTGATGTAAAGTCTTAGTTGAGAAAAAACTCTTAATTGGTGCAAGTTTCTCCATTAAGTAAAGTAGCTCAGATATGAGTATAAGGGATGTGTGAAGATCCCATGTTTGTAGAAGATGATCAGAATATGTATTTCTTTACACAGATACACTTTATTGCTGCAAGTCATTCTCAAGTGTTCTTGAAAGCAGACATGTGGCAATTCAGGAGCTTCTCTGAGAAATCTCAATTGTACCATTTAATATACAGACTTTCATAAGGTTCCTTGTTTCCAAGAAAATCATTCAGCTGGGCGCTGGTGGCTCACACCTGTAATCCTAGCTACTCAGGAGGCTCAGATCTGAGGATCATGGTTCAAAGCCAGCCTGGGAAAGAAAGTCCGTGAGACTCTCATCTCAAATTAACCACCAGAAAACTGGAAGTGCTGCTGTGGCTCAAGTGGTAGAGCACTCGCCTTGAGCTGAAGAGCTGAGGGACAGCGCCCAGGCCCAGAGTTCAGGCCCCACTACTGACAAAAAAAAAAAAAAATCACTCATAGCTTTCATTACTTTGGCTGTACATTCATTCATTTTGGCTGATTTAATTCAGATTAAAATAGTAGAATGAAAGATACAGAGAATGAAAGATAAATACAAATGTTTGGTCAGTTTCCTTGTTTTGTTTTTTTATTTTTCTTAGGACTTTTTTTTAACCCCTGAGCTTTATCTTTTCCATTATATCACAGAAAGACATACCTGTAGTAAAAACACACATTTTCTCCCAGGATTCCTTTTTAGTTAGCACTAGACTGAGTATATATGGGATTTCTGTGTTAGTACATTTATTTCAAATATGCCTAGATGTTTTAATGTGACTATGCATAATTGTGTGTGTTTCTTCATTTTGAAGGATTCTGGGTAGGCAAATAATCACTCCAAGCGAAGGATATGGATTGTATCCTAGATCTCCTTCTACTGTTTCAGCTTTACATGAAGCAGCCTTGTCTCAAGAAAGAGATTCTGCTTTGTAAGTATTCTATTATACACTTCTATACCCTAACATGCCAACTGCATTAAAAGAATGATATTTTTTTAATTTATAGATATTAGGTGAACACAGAAGATTCTGTAAGATTGGTCATAATCTTTATGTATATAAAAATTTTGTCATATGTGTATATTTATTTATTTATTGTCGATCGTGGGGCTTGAACTCTGGGCTTGGGCGCTGTCCCTCAGCTCTTCAGCTCAAGGCGAGCGCTCTACCTCTTGAGCCACAGCGCCACTTCCACTTTTCTGGTGGTTTATTGGAGATAGGAGTCTCATGGACTTTCCTGCCCGGGCTGGCTTTGAACCATGATCCTCAGACCTCAGCCTCCTGAGTAGCTAGGATTTCAGGCGTGAGCCACTAGCACCCGGCCATATATGTATATTTATATATCTATAGCTTTATAATAATCAGATTTGACCTAAAGGCCTAGGCTTACTAGGCAGCTGCTTCTACCTTTCAGGAAGGGCTTTACTGACCCTTGATCCTCCCATCTGCACCAAACAAACCGCCACACTTGGTTTATTTGTTGAAATGAGGTCTTGCTAACTTTTTCCCAGGCTGACCTGGTATCTTGATTTTCCATATCTCTGCCTCCCATATAGTGCCACCATATCTGACCCTGTGTTGGGAAGGTGGCTTAGTGGTAAAGTTCTTGCCTTGCATGCATGAGGCTCTGGGTTCAATTCCTCAGCACCACATAAGCAGAAAAAGAAGGAAGTGGTGCTGTAGCTCAAGTGGTAGCACTAGCCTTGAGCTAAATTGCTGAGGGACAGTACCCAGGCCCCAGAGTTAAGCCCCACAACCAAAAAAAAAAAACTTAAACAACTTGGGACATGGAGAGTGAGACTATTACAGTTAGAAGTCCCAGGAAGAAAGTTAAGCAGTCCCTATCTTGGCCAACAAGCTGGGTGGCTCACATCTATATTTAAAGCAACACAATAAGTATACGTAAGAATTTTTTTTTAAAGTAGTACTATATAGACAGTAGAATCTAGGTCCCAGGCCTGCCCCAGACAAAAATTTGAGAGCTTATCCAAAACATAAAAAAGATGGGCTGGGAAGGTGGCTCAGTGGTAGAGTACTAGCCTTGAGCTGAAATGCTTAGGGACAGTGCCCAGGCCCAGAGTTCAGGCCCCACGACCGGACCACCCCCCCAAAAAAAAAACATGAAAAAGAACTGGGGACATGGCTCACATGGTAGTTAGTATGTTTGCCTAGCAAATATAAGACCAGAGTTAAAACCCCACAATGCCTAAAAAATTAATAGGAATAACACAGAAAAGCTTTTAAGTAGTATGAAGACTTGAGTTCAATGCAGAGTACCACCAAAAAGAAAAAAAAAATAGCAGAGGTAAGAATACTGCAGTTTCAGGTCAGTTCTGGCAAGTGTGAAGCGCTATATACAAACAAGCAACCCTTAAAGCAAAAGAAGTAGCCAGTCACTGGTGGCTCATGCCTGTAATCCTGGCTACTCAAGAGGCTGAGATCTGAGGATAGAAGCTCAAAGCCAGCCCATACAGGAAAGTTCATGAGACCCTTACCTCCAATTAACAACCAGAAAACCAGAAGTAGACTTGTGGCTTAAAATGCTAGAGAGCTAGTCTTGAGCAAAAGAGCTCAGGGACAACACCCAGGCCCTAAGATCAAGCCCCATGACCAAAAAAAAAGGAAAAGAAGTGGAGGTATTGTTCAGAGGTATTATGATGGTATTGTGACAGAGCATTGATCTAGCGAGCAGGAAGTGCTGAAATCAATCAGCATTAATTATTTTTTTAAAGCATGGACTACGTAATTTCAAAGGACAGCCCTACAGTGGTACTGGCTAGTCTCCATTTGTGTCTAGATAAGTAAACTTTCTATCATAATTTTGTGGAATTACTGGGCAGAGGCCAGAAACCAGTGGCTCACACCTATAATCCTAGCTACTCAG